TCAATCCTGAGCCGGTGAGATTTGAACCGCTGAACTGCTGATCTAGCAGTAGCCTGCAGTGCTGCATTTAACCACTGCGCCACCTTGGCGCAGAAGAGGGGGTTCAACTTGTTTTCCAAAGCACTAGAAGGCAAGGCAAGAAACAATGGGTGGAAACTAGTCAAGGGGAGAAGCAACCTGGAATTAAGGAGAAATTTCCTAACAGTGAGTAAAATTAACCAGGAGAACAGCTTACTTTCAGAAGTTGTAAGTGCTTCATCACTGGAAGTTTTAAAGAAAAGACTGGACAGCCACCTATCTGAAATAGCATAGGGTCTCCTGCTTGAGCAGATGTTTCATTAACCAAACTAGGTAACATTGTCAGTACTAGGTAGCATTGATGATGTTACCTAGTTTTGGCAACGAACCATCTGCAAGAAAACAAGCAAGCTCAGAGAGCACCAAGTACCCCTCCTGTCAACCCTGAGCTACAAATATTTCTCTATGTTTGTTATTGTTTATATCACTGAATTTATAAATGTGCATCTGATGTACAGGCTCCTAGTTACCTTTATTATGGCTTTCCTGCCTCTCAGTAGTAGCTGTCATCCAAAAGGTCTTTCTTGAAATATGAAAGGAGGGGCTATAAAAGAAATATTACTTTGCTTTCTCAGATATTGAAAAATGCACAAAGTGCCCTGATCATCAGTATCCAACCGAGAACCAAATCCAATGTATCCTCAAAAAAGTATCCTTCATATCCTATGAAGAACATCTGGGCATCGTCCTGGTCTGCTTGGCCCTACTTTTATTTCTAACCACTGGATTTGTTTTAATTATATTCATTAAGTACCTAGAAACTCCCCTTGTCAAAGCCAACAACCGGGACCTCTCCTACATCCTCCTGGTCTCCCTCCTGCTTTGTTTCCTGTCCTCTTTTCTCTTCCTTGGACGACCAAGGAAAACCACCTGCCTTCTCCAACAGACAGTGTTCAGCGTTGTCTTCTCAATAGCTGTCTCTTCTGTGTTGGCCAAAACAACCACAGTGGTGCTGGCATTCTTAGCCTCAAAACCAGGCAAGAGGGTTAGAAGATGGTTGGGGAAGAGCTTGGCCAACTCCATCATCCTTTCTGGTTCTGCTGGCCAAATTTTCATCTGTGCATTGTGGTTGGGAATCTGTCCCCCATTCCCTGACTCTGACCTCCACTCCCAGCCTGGAGAGATTGTTCTTCAATGCAATGAAGGCTCTGCCACCATGTTCTACATNAGACATCTAGGCTTGCCTATTTTGTTCTTGTTCTTTGTTTTCAATTGCTTCCATTGTGGGAAGAATGAGAAAAAGATCTTGAAGGACGAGGTAGGGAGAGATGGGAGGACATGGTGGATTTACTTCTGTCAAAAGGAATCTCTCTTCCATTGGTCGTTTTGGAAGTGTCTTCCCATGTTTAGCTTTGTTAGCAACATCTGAAATCCTTGAAACACCAGGAATGGTTTCAGATCAATCGCTTTTGCTCACCCAAACTATTTTTACCTTATAGGCCCAAAGATATCCATCCACCCATCCTTACTGGGATCATAGAACAATATAAGCAGGAAGATCTAATTGGGAGGACCATTGAGGGAGAGAGGTTTGACTCAGGGGACAAGAGAAAACCAAATGGAGGACTCATTATAAAATCCATCAGGAGCATATAAGTGTGCAATAATATAACAGTAATGGAATAACAGATTAAGAGTTATTCCAACAGAATAGCCAAGTTGGAAGGGGTCTTGGAAGTCTCATAGTCCAGTTCACTGGTCTACTAATTTAGTCACATTGTCAACCAGACGGATAAACAACCAAAATGTAGGTGTTCTTTAAAACAGTTGTGTTTCTTTGCTATAATTGAAGTAAGAGGTTTTCTAACGATTAAAAATAAGGACAGACTTTCCAAGATACAGCTCCCTTGAAGTAAGGTATGCGCACCAATCCTGAGTGTAACTTGTAAACTTGTCTGGGCTCCCTTTTATTATATTTCTAGTATTTCTAATACTTGGGGTATTGGTATATACAGCTCTTAATCTGTATGGGCTGGCATCCTATGTACCAGCCGTGCCCTCTCCTGGACTGGGAGCCTTGCTCTCATTTGGAAAGTGCAAAGAAGAGCAACTGAGATGATTCAGGACTCGAAGACAAAAACATATGAAGAACGGTTGCAGGAATTAGGTAAGGACAGTCTAGAGGAAAGACGGACTAGGGGTGATATGATAGCAGTATTCCAGTATTTGAGGGGCTGCCACAAAGCAATAGCAATAGCAGTAGACTTATATACCGCTTCATAGGCCTTTCAGGCCTCTCTAAGCGGTTT